TTAGCTCCTTTCAGAAAGTGCAGCAGAAATGTAATGTAATCACTTTGTGGTTCAGAGGCCCTGGCTCAGTGTAGGACACTGGCTCAGTAAGGAGAAATGCTGCTTCATGACTCACTTCTACTCCTCAGCCAGTGAGTCACTGTGCACCCCTGTTGCAAGAACTACCTGAGAGAGTCTGACTGGATTCCTGGGCACTTGGTGTTTTACCAAATTTCAGATGTGTAAGGAATCACTTAAAGACATGGAAGCTTGTTGTCCCCTCCAAAACACCATGAACTATCCTAAGATTTAGGAAGTGAATTTGAAAGCCTGGCTTAAAAATAAGCAGGTTTCCTTTGGCTGGTAAGTCATATGCTGAAAAAAGGACTGAACCACAGATACAAGGACTTCAAAGGACTTCAATGAACTAGAGCTGAATTTCTCTTTTGTAGCTTGGGCTTGTTTCCAGAGCAGAAAAGAACTTGCTTATGCCTTTTAAATACCATCAGTCCTTCAAGTCAAGCACCAAGTTCAAGTGTACAGTGAAGTGAGGACCTTGACTGAGGTGGCTCTGTGGTGCCCAGCTGTAGTTTGTGCTCCTGCATCTGAGCAGGAGGGGAATAACCATCAGGAACACCTCCACCCTACCCCTTTGGCACACCCTCAGCCTTCCTCTGCCCAGGCTTCCTGACTCTGTGCTCTTCTTTCTAACTGCTTGTTCTGCTTCCAGAAGTGCTGCCAGCTCCCCACAGTTTGCCTTTGCTGTCAGATTTCCCAGTGCCTGGAGTGACATCCCACGAGTCTCCCTGGTTCAGCTGTAAATCCAGAAGCTGCTGTGGTCTTAGCTGTGAGCCTGCTCAACCTCCCCTCACATAATCATCCAAACATGTCAAGAGATCCAAAGTATTTTAAAAGCAAACCCAGTTCATTACAAAATAATTTTCCAAAATAAACACTTGTGTGTATTTGGAGGATTTTTTTTCTCTTTCTTCACTCAAAGGTTTTTTCGTTCTTCATCATTATTGGAGTCATTCTGTTTTAGGAAATTTAGATTTTTAGATTTTTAGATTTTTTTGGGATTAAAGCTATTTTAACACAGTAGACCTCACTATTCTTATAAGAAATGCTTACTTGTTTAAACCTCTTTACAAATCCCAAGGAACAAACACCAGCATCAGCATTAAGAGACTGAAGTGAAACTAGATGCATCATTTATTTCTCAATAGATTTAGGCCCCCCAACTCCCCAAATTCCCATGTTTTCATCCCTTTTCTTGTGATTTGGTTGTCTAAGGCAACAATTATGTAGCAAAGTAATATGATGTAATATTTCTTCACATAGACTTTGTCTTTAGTTCCAGAATTTCCAAAGGAGACATCCCAACCTTCTTGGAGCAACTTGCCAGAAGGCAAACTCGTTATTCAGAGACCTGCTTTACACAGATTCCTTTCTGCTCCCAAGTAAAAGTGATCTTAGTAATAAGAGTTGTTGACCATCTCTGTACACTTGCCAGCATTCATCAGCCCAACTGTTAGTCCAGAACAGTTTGGGGTTTTTTACTTTGTTAAGAGCTAGTGAACAGTCACAGTGACTAAAGGAGGGTCGGAGCAGCTCCAGGGCTGCTGGCTGCCTTCCCAATCCTGTGCTCCTGGTGATGGTGTTGGACTGTTCCAGAGCTTCAGTGGCAGCAACCAGGACCTCGGGCCGAGATCTTTCCTGCCCCAGTAAGTTGATACGTCCCCTGTAATAAGCACAGACCAGAATATTACTGTAAGTAGGTCTATTATATAAGACAGCTAAGAAATTAGCGGGAAACAAAGCAAAACCTGGCTCCATAAAATCTGATTAGTAGTTTTTGCTAGAAAATGCTGGCAGCACAAAGATTTTATTTGTGTTGTTTCACAGAGCTTGGCTGAGACTAAATGACTGAGGCTGGGCAAGGAGTGACGTATATGCTTGATTTACATGTGCCCTGTCCGAAACAATCTTGATGTTCATGTGTGAGTTTAAATATTCCCAGAGTCTTTGCAGAAGCAAGTCCCTGAGATTAACTTTCAAAGACTGGAAATGTATTTCCCCAGGGCTCATGGATATTTAAATCCCTGTTGTTTGGCTTTGCTTATTATAGGATGCATCCTTCCCTCTGATTAAGGCGTTTATCAGATATGTACAGCCAGATAAACACAAATAAAAAGGACTGAATTTATGAATTACCGGCCCTCAGTAACCCCTGATGATTGATGCAGTCTTAGTGTGATTTGGGTTGCACCTCCAGTGCAGCTGCTTGAAGCTGCCTGTACCCTCCTCAGGTTCTCTTTCCCCTCTGGGAGGGAGAAGAGACAATTTCTGAAGACTGAACCTGACTTCTGAATTTCTGCAGTCTTCCAAGTTTGCTTTCTTTTATTGTATTTGACACATCTCATGAAGTGACTTAGTAGTGGGGTATTGAATATTGGGGCTTCTTCGGTTTTAGTTCTACAGCTGCATTTTAGTTAGTCCCCTCTTCCATCATTGAAGTCATATTAAAATGGTTTGGAACAGAAAATTAAATGTACTAAAGTAATTTGAAAATTTATAGCTACCAGAAGCTAAATTTAAATCTGCAGCAGGGGTTTGCTGTTCTGTTTGTTTGCAGGCAAGTTTTCAGCAAACTCTCTGGATAAGATGCAGGAAGGTTGTATCATTGCCACAGCTCTGTCTGGCAAAACATGCCATAAGAGCAGAATACTGTTGCTTAGCGACTCATGAGAGATGATTAACCCTTTCCTAGAACTGCCCAATATTTCTGTGGACGCCCTCCTGAGGCATCTTTGTAGACAATAATTGAATATGAAGAAACTTATAGCTTTAACTACTACATGTATTGATTTATTCATCATTAATGTTAAATGAAGGACCATTAGTTACTGAAGGAGATCACTTAATGAAAAGTCATTCATGCATAGTGTGACATGCAATTTTTGCACAGGAAGGCTCATATAATTACAATAAAGATGGAGTAAGGAGTGATTAAAAATAATTTGGGAGTGATGGCAGTTTAATGGTACGCTTCTATTTCTTTGTGTGAACTCAAGTATTTCTAAAATTTCAGCTAGATTTAAAGACTGAGCCCATGTGTTGACACTGCTCTTGCCACGGGTACCTTGAAGCAGAGTTTACTGTAGCAACAGTAGTTAGGGAAGTTCCTCACCTCCCATCTCTTTTCAGTGCAACAGGGACATTGTAAAGGCCATTTCAGTGTGAAAACATTAATTTTAATTAAAAATGTAATTAATCTTTGAGGTTGATGGGCTGAAAAATTTCAGTTTTCTTGTTTGAAAGGTGCCTGAAATTCTGCATGAGCTGATAAGCAGGAACGTGTGGGTGTGGCGGGCGGGTTTGGTTGTACCTGGTGTTGTCCTTTTGTGGATACTACAGAGCAGAAATTTTCCACCTGGTGTTACTAATGTGTTCCAGCATTTGGGTTGATGTATTTTTCAAACATGATCACTTTGGGTGGCGTTCACCTCATCCAACTTGAGCTCTGTTAAAATGGGATGGGGAGCAATTCTGATGGTTCATTCACTACACCTCTCTCAAATATCCCCCTTGGGTGGGCTGAACTGCCCAGGTTTGCCCTCTTTTGAGGCAGCTGGAAAGACCCTTGGACTCCAGCCCGTGGAGAGTGCTGGTTGACAGGAGCCCAACCCTCTGACTTGGGTGGTGCCCTGAGTAGTGTTACCTCTGCAAGGATGGCTTCCCGGTGTTCACTGGACTGCTTAACAACAGTGACAGAGCAACGTGGTGTTCAAGTACAGCCGTGGAAAAATCCTCACATGGGAACAGAGGTTAAAGCATAAATAGAGGATTTTAAATTGCAGTGGCTACTCTTTGTGGAATTAACTGGCAATAAAGGCAAGAATTCCCCTGGAGCAAGAAACAATCTTGGTTTCACCTCTCCCCCTCTAAGAGTTCCAGCAGCAGCAATAGTTTCTGTAACTATTGGCCCTCAGTTCTGGTAGCTTGAGAGCAGGTTGGGGCTGTTGACCGTGAGGGCATCTGCCACATGCACATGGGCCTGTGTGCAGCAGCATTCCCAACACCTATGTCTCTCTGCCATCAATGGGGAAAACCATCTGAGCTAGAAACATTTTGTACTAGGTAGTGCTGAGATTGTGTCCTCCTCTTGTCTGCAGGTGGGTTAACTCTGTGACCTGAACAGAAACTTGTAAGGTGTTAGAATCAATCCAGGTGACCCCTTGCCATGAAGATAACTTTTGCTATGACATATCCCAATTTGTCTTATTCGGTAATATTATGTGTGCTCCTATCAGGCAGAAACAGAATTTGCTGGAGGTCTTGTTTCCCAAATGTCTTATCCTGATGCATTTCAGACTTTTGGCTCCAGAAAGCAGCCCATGTGACAAACAAACTGACTGTGTGCCACGTGGGATTTTGTACTACTGCTTTTTGTATGAGTCCATGCCACTAAAAGATCTCCAGGGAGATTAATTCTGTAACAGAGGCACAAACCAATGCAGATATTTCTGAATTGTTAGGCAGATCATTTACTGCTGTTTTGAACACGCTTTTGTAACTCGCCAACAGCAAAAAGAAACTTGTGTGACTGATATCTGAGCTGTTCTCTTTCACTGCCATCAGTAAGGAGATGGAGCTTCCAAACTGGGATGTTTTGGCATTTCACTAGAATGGATGGATTTGACTTGTCTGAAATACAATTTCTGTTGGCACCTGTGAGAGGAAACAGCCATTTGTCTTGCACTGTGCTGGCTGGCGTGTCACGCAGTGGGGACAGTGTGTATTATCAGCCCGGCTCTGTCCCTCTCCTGGCACACGTTAATCACACGAGCTGTGGTGCTTTGGTTGTGAGCGAGAAATCCTGCGCTTGGGCTTCCAGCTGTTGCTGGGCAGAGACCAGCCTGGGAAACTGTGATGTCAGTGCTTGTGCACAGAGAAGTCCAGCAGTCTGCTGTGTGCCCCTGAGGAGGAACAAGCAGAGCAGGGCTCTCCTGGGGCTGGGGAGGGACAGGGCTGAAGCACCAGAGCCCTGAGCTCTCTGCTGAGCCACGGTGAGAGTGGGCAGTGTTGGTCTGTCTGCTCCTGTCTCTGTGCCTGCTCACCGAGGTTGGGAGTCAGACCACTGGTGGGCACAGTCACCGTGGGCTCTGCCCTGGCTGGAGCCTGAGTGTCTCTGTTCTCTCACGTCTGTTTCTGGGTGGGAGTTTCACAGGGCTGAGATGCTGGAATTTCGTAATATGCTTCTGGGAGAAACAAACTTAAGCTGAGATCTGTGTGGGCAGTAGGGCCATAGCAAAGTAATATGTGTGGATGAATCTGGTTGCCCTTGGGGAAATTCTTGCCATTTCTTGTACCTTTTCTGCTTCAGATTTGGTGTGATTTTGGGGCGCTGTGTTGTTTTGTCTCTGTAGGGGAGTCTGTGCTATGGAAAGGCTGCAGTGTGCTTGGACACTGAAATGTAACCACAACTGGAGTGTCCAGGGGGTAAGTGGATTTCAGCGTGAAGGGTGGTGCAGGGGCTGAGGCATTTCTGTGGGCTTGGGCAGCCTTAGATTGGCTCTGGGTCCCCCACAAACATCCCACATGAGTACATTGGGTACCTGGGGCTTACGCTCGCTGTGAAACCATGGCTATTTGTAAAGTACTGTCCTCTCCCCTCCATGCCTTCTGTGCTGCACCAGGGAGGAGAACTATGGCAGAGAGAAAGCTCAAATACCTTGGTAGTTGGTGAGGGGGATATTGGCACCTGAGTACATGCTGGGACCTGCCCCTGCCTGCCTGTGCACCCTGGTGGGGTGGACCTGGGTCAGCTGTGGTCCAGCTCCACAGAGCTGTGTTAGTTCCAGGATGGATTTGCTGTCAGCAAATACACATGTACCTGCCTACAGGGAGTCAGTTCTCTGTTTCCCATAAATTCTTTAATTCAAGGGAAAGATCTGGATGTGTGGTTATTTATTAGCTCCAGGGGTGCTTCATCCATGTGAATTGTAAATAAGAAAGTGGCATGTGAAATTCTAGTCACGAGGATGGGGAAATAAAAGGCAACTAATCAAGAAATTATTGATTTTTTTTTTTAGTTGTTCTTGGTTAATATTTAGCCACACCCAGCTGTGCTTGAATGCAGTTGTGAACAATAAATGTGAGACAGGCAATAAGGAGTGGCTGATCTCATTTTAACATCCTTTAATTAGTGCAGAAAATAGCCTGTCACCCATATCTGAAGTGAAAGGGCTGCACACTGAAGTGTTCCCTGGGATGAAATAATATGTGATTCCAGGTGAGTCTTCTTCTTTCAGTGTTGTCAACAGTGAGCCCTGGGGAGTTTGTTCTTTCCAGCTGGATGATAGCTAGTGACAGATTTCTTAATATTCATTACAGTGTTGATGCCTTTGACTGCATGGCACATCAGGAGAAGAAGATTCACTGAGAAATCACCTTTATTTTGGGAGTGCTTTTTTTCCCTGTCCCATGTGAACAATTTGATCTTCCTGACCCATTTGCAGCAGCATGTAATAGCCAAGCATGTATTTTCAGCTGTCACACAGGGTTTGATGCCCTGAGATCCTGGCTATAGGTCACAGCTCAGAGCATTGACAATATCCAGTAATGAGGCAGAGTCATGTCAGATACGACTGGATGAGTTATTTGTAGCAAACAGCTGATTTAATTTCTTTCCCTCAGTCCCTGAATGATCTGCTGTGAGGTTTTGACTGCCTGAGATCTGTGTGTGTGAAATGACAATGACTGTTTTATGCAAATGGGTTTCATGCTCTGGATTGCCTATCAGCTATTCAGAGACATTATTTCTCATTATTTGCTGTTTCGGCTGAATGAAAGTCCTTGCAAGTCACGGGGCGTTGAGTCTGATCCCTGAATGAACAGCTTCCAAACTCACGCGGAGCTTCCAAGATGATCTTTCAGCAGGGCCATATGCAGGCTCCGAGCATAAACCCTCATGCAAACAGATTTGCTGTGCTTTCCTCGTGTTCTTGTACCGTGTTTATTGCTGGCAAAGAATGGGAGTGTTGCCTGCTCTGCAGGGCAACCACTTGCCTGACTTCAGATGAAGCTTTGTGAGTGGGGTTTGGCAGCATTTGTAAGTATGTGACAGGCCAGCGCAGAGAGGCAGGATTGAACTGACAGCCAGTGTGGCAGTGGGCAATGGATGACCTCGTTTGGGTTTGGCCACAGGTGGGTTGAGCCAATCCATGCCACTGGACTCGGCACTGTCTCTTCTGCTCTCACAGACCAGGCCTTGTCTCTGCCCAGGAAGCAGTTGGTGTTTGCTCTGTTCCTTATGCAGTTTTTCAGCAAGAGGTTGTACATGAGAGAGCTACATCAGTTGTGACAGTTGTAGCTCTAAATAGGAAATGATTAATATTTCATGATTATTTTTCTGTAAGGCATGATTCTTGGGAGAATGCATCAGTTTGACTTGGTGGAGAGAACAAGCCTGCCTTGCTCAGCTTCAAATGAAAATGTAGTCAAGCACTGCATGCTAATATTCCTACATTAGATGAAAGCTCTTTGGCTGTCTGAGTAATGCTCTACTGCCAGTACGTCAGTGCAAAAGCGTACACTGCACTTTCAGAAACTTCTCTTTCACTCTTCAGTCTTGCAAGTTATCTACCTTTCTGCCTTTGCCTTGTGCACCTTTAGTCTGGGTTTTAAGTGGTACCAGAGGTCATGAATGTCAGCTGACTGCAACAACTACAGAATTTTTTATTCTGATATTTCCTTTTTTATTTACTTATATTTCCCTTTCTTGAGTCACGAGCACTTAAAAATATTTCAGGGTTGCACCAGAGAACAGCAAACAATTGGTCAAGGAAAGAATCTTGTCTCTGTGATACAACTTTTCTGTGAAGGCAGCAGTTCAAAATGCCTCTAGTTAACATATATTGACAAATCTTACAGAAGTTTTGCTCTTATTTATTGAATGGTCACAGAGCTACTGTTAGTCAGCAGTGAGTCCACCAAGGCTTTGACTTATGCCCTGGACTGCTACAAGAAAGTCTACAGGAAGGTGATGGATAGCTTGGTAAGAAAAGTGCCACTCTTCTTTCTGCTCTGCAAGAAGAGTTACACCACACTGGAGAAGGATGCTGTTAAGTGCTGCAAAACAGGATAAAAGAAACAGAGAGAAAGATTTCTATTTACATATAAAGGTTCTATTCTTTAATCTGAACTAAGTAAGACTGGAAGAAAATGCAGCTGAAAGATGCTGTGTGTATATGTAAGTATAATGATTTAATCTTTGCACAAAGAGCTATACTGGAATATAAACTATTCACAGCATGTTCTGCTGGTCCCAACCAGGGTTTCATTCTGTTAGACACGGTGTAGAATACTCAGAAACATGATGGAGGAGAGTCAAGACTGCAGAAAAAAAGATATGTTAGGATGTGTCAGCATTGAAGTGGTCTGTGAAATGTTAATTGAACCATCCTCCACTCCTGTCTTCTGCAAGTACTACACTTGCTCCTAATCACAGTCATGTGTACCTACTCTGTACAAAAGAGTGGATGTACTTGCTACCACCAAGCAAAACAAGGACTCCTGATTCTTTCTAGGGTGCTATTTTACAGCTGGATTTGGTTTTATATATATTTTGTTCCAGATTATTTTAAAGTATCTGGGTAGCCTTGAAATAAAGCAGAAAGGAATGCGTAGGAATGACAACTACTTTCCTAGACAGCCCTACATTCACAGGACACTTGAAAATAAGTTTTGGAGAGGAATAGTTAGAGACTTCATTGAGGCACAGGCTCATCTCAGAATTTTTGTCTCTGCTATGTAAGTATTCGGGGACTCAGAAAACTACATAGCTGAATTGCTTTGCTTTGCTTTTCTGCCTAAAAAAAACCTGATAAAACAAACCCTTTGAGGTGTGTATAATTTTCTGCACATGTGGTTATATAGTGTGGTATTTGGTGATCCATCTTTTTTAAGCTAATGCAGATGATATGTCAGGTAAGACTTGCTCAGCATTATTAAAATTCTTTTTGCTTTATGAATTTAGGACTTACATCAGCACAATGCAAAGTATGAATTCAACAGCTATTCCATAGGTCAGAGTAGTCTTTAGCTAATAGGCTATACAACCATGGGAAGGTACCACATTAATCAGTGGGTTGTAGGCACCTTTGTAGATGTTGGTTTTGATGATTACCATAGCAAGCAAATTTGCAGGCTTGTTTTATGATCTGTTTGCCTGAAAATCAGTGCTTGCTTGCTTGGGTTTTGATTTTTTTTTTTTTTTAATCTTTTCTCCTAAAGGGTCATTGTTTGGTAAAATGACTGGTTGGATTTGGTTTTAATGATTACAAAAGGAGGTTTGGTTTGGTTTCATCTGATGCTACTGGCACAGAAAAGCCTCTGCAGTTCTGTTTGGTTTCCAAGTTAACGCTGTCTGTGGATAGATGATCTCAGAGCCCTGGCTGTCTAAGCAACTGTGAGAAGTAACAACATAAACTTAAGATTAAGAATTTTGCCAATAGTAATTAAAAGTCATGGTTAAGGGCTCTCATTCAGCAAACACTGACTGCTGCTCAAAGCACTTAGATATGTTTTTAATTTTGTGCATATTTCAAATATATTTGGTCTAGTTACAACTGAAGTATATACTTTGAATTGCATAGTTTTACTGCTTTTTAAAAGCAAATAAGTGGTTGTAATCTATATATGTACTTGGCGGGTAAAAATCAGGAAACATAACTGGAGTTTTTGGATGGATTTACTTTTGGGAGCAGGCTCTTTATTTCTGCTTCCCTGCAGGTTAATTGTGCTGGGATTTGCTCTGTTATGCTTCTCCCTTCAACTAATTTTTTCTAAGATTTCTCTTCTATTGTAAGCCTCATTTCATACATTTAATATCCTTGTTCATCAGCCTAATTACCCTTTGGTCCCACCTCCTTGGCACAGACCCTCAAAGAGAGACTCAACATTCCCACCTCAGCTCCTGCACCATCTGGTCTTTCCGGCTCGGAGCCTCTGTCCGTGGTTTCCAGAGGCGCATCCGTCTCCGTGCTGTGCTGGCTCACGTACTGCAGCTGCATCCCTGGCAGCTGGCTGCTTTCTCCACTTACCAATTTTTGCTCTGTCCCCTCACTTGTTACAGTTCCTCCTTTCTGTTTCTTCCCGTCCCGTACAGAACACCTCTGTTCTTCAAAAAATATAAGATGGGATTGACGTCCTTCACGGGAGCTCAGGGAGGATTGCTTCTGCACAGGACCGAGTCCACACGCACCAGGCACTGCTGGGTCCTTGCAGAGGAGAGGATGAGGCATGAGAAAAGGGCCTTCATGCACCAGGGTGAGGACCAGCCACTGAGGCTTTGCAAACAGCCACTGGGCCAGGACAGTTTCTGCAGCCGTGGTCAGAGAGGCACCAAGCAGCAGCAGGGTGCTGTGGGGAGCACTGTGTACACCTGCTGCAGCAGGCAGCACCACGTCAGGAGAAGCTGAGAAGATACCACCCCAACAACATGTTGGTCACGACACCCTGATCAAAAGCAAGCATCAGCAACCCTGAAGAGGAGGGCTGTGTTTGGTTTTGTTTGTTTGTTTTTCATATAATAAGATCATGAAACAGAATTGAGAACCTCATCAATATTACATCTGCAACAGATGGTGAAAACCTACCTGCAGGGACAAGAAATCCATTTAGCTCTTCAGACAAGATCTCCAGTGCCAGAGATGGTATCTGGCCTTTTGGTTCCTCTTGAGATACACTAGTGGAAAACCACAACCAGCCAAGAGCTCCCTGTGACCCCACGTCTGTGCAGGAGTGTATGCGAGCCACGCTCCCGGTGAGGCTGACAGTAATTCATCACAGGGCTTTGCGACCTGATTTGAGACAGCTGCAATGAATTGCCTTTGCCTTGAATTTCAAACAATTTATTTTGGGAGAGCAGAACACTTCTGTGAGATGCAGCATCATGCTGAATGCAGTGGATATGGATGACAGGATACCTGGCATTTTTTGGAAGATGGCCACCGAGTCCTTGGGGGATGCAGGTTGCGTTGGTGAGCAGCTCCTGGGCTGTGGTTTTTGGCATGTGCAGCCCCACTGCTGGTGGAATGGACCCGGGGAGATGGTTTGCAGCAGGGCTGGTTCAAAATATAGTTACCACTTAAAAGTCTAGTGGAAAATGTATCCTGCCAAGCAGGAGCCTCAGGGCTGGGAAGGGCACTCAGCCCATCTCAAGCACCCATCAGTAAGGTGTATCACACAGAAAGTATTTACCTTAGGGGAAAATCATAGCGTTTTCTCATGATTATATGGATTTTACTTGCCAGTAAAGCCTCTGATAGCTGAGAGAGATGCAAGACTGCTATCTGAAACACTTTGGACTTCCAAGCAAATGTTCTTTCCAGCTTGCAGAAGTGTTAGTAGTTGTCCAGTAGATTGAAACCTGTTTGGGGAAACAATGTCACTGCTTGTATTTTGTCTTTTGGTTGCGAAAGGAGCAGCCTGCCCATCACTTTTTTTCCTGCCCCAAGAGACCTTTTTATGACTGAGTGATAAGAAAAAGCAAATTATAGATGTTAACAGAGCTCTTAATCTTTCCAGT